TGGGAGTGTCAGACACAGTGTGATTGGCACAGGACAGAGCGGAGTTTAGGGCTGTTGTACATAGGGTCGCTATGAGTCGCAAGCAACTCGACGGCACATAACAACAACAACAACAACAACGGCTAGTGATCTTGACCACTTATTCATGTGTTTGTTGGCTATCTCAATATCCACTTTGGTGAAGATTCTATTCATAACTTTTGACCATTTTGTAATTGGTGTGTTGGTGTTTTTCTTGTTGAGGTGCTGGATTGTGATACAGATTTTAAACATGAGTCCCTTATCAGATATGTCATTACCAAATATTCCTCCCCTCTCCAAGGTTTCTTTTTTACCTTGTTGGAGAATTATTTTTTTATTTAGACATCTTGAAAATCCTCACAGGATAGTTACTATTCATTAGGTTGGCAGATTTACCGATGTTCTGGGTTTGAATTTCATTGCTGTGGGGATTGAAACTTTATTTATTTTTTTTTTTTACTGCACCAACAGTGAATTTGTCTTTCAGAAAGAAATTGTCATTACCCCAACGTAGAGGGTAGACATCATAAGTGAAGAAAAGCAAAGTGTTTATTAATTTTCTGTGAGCCATAAATGTCACAGAGAAAAAAATGTTTACAAAAAAAGTTCACTTGGAGAACATGGAATCAGAACAAAGTCAGAATCGTCAACCGAAAAAAGTCTCTAGATTGCACAAATGGCTTGCACCGAACAACTAACCTAAAGATTGGAGGCTTGAACCATCCAGAAGAACCATGGAAGAAAAAAGCCTGGTAGCCTAGTTTTATAAAGGTTATAAAATAAAAATCTAGGGAGTTAATCAGGCTACAATGAGGATGGCTTACCATGACACAAGAAGAACAACTTGAGGGGTTATGCCTCCCTTCTTCTCCAGTCAGCAACACTGGTCCACTGTCTGTCTTGATTTCTTTTGAATCTTGAGATCTGTAGTCTTCAAGCAACTTGTGAATCTTGCAGGCTTGAGGACCTCAACATCATCAGCATAATTTTGTGTCTTTGCTCTGGCCTCATATATAAACAAACAAAAATTGGCTCTGACTTAGGTTGACCTTCCATCAGGTTTTGGAAACTATAAATCTTTATGGGATGTTAAATGGATTAAAAAAATAATAAATAAAACTTACTCATTTTTCCTCCTGCAAAGCAGCTGATGGCTGTGAACCTGAAGCTTACTTTCTATGCCACCAGGCCTAATATGTACAAAGATTAAATTTTAACTCACAGAAGGAAATGTTATTTTCTTTTATTCTTCTTAGTTACAAGTTTCCAGAAGTCTATATGTGTAACCCCTGTATGCTGGCTCTGTTAGCTGTGGTTCAGTGCTCTCCCCCTTGCTCTTGTATGGTGAGGTGAAATACATCCTAAGTATGTATGGAGACAGCCCCGTGATCAGTTTCAGATCAGATGGCTGTCCATGTTGCGCTTAGTCTGAAAGATCTGCTGACATCTGGTCAGCATCACGGCAGACCACCCCGACAGATGGTGACTGTGCCTAAGGTGTATTGGCCAGTAATCAAACCTGTGTCTCTGCCACTGAAGGTAAAAATTCTACTATTAAACCACTAGTGTCCTCATTCCTACATACTGTCCTACAATTCAAACAAGGACCTCTGATGTCTCCATGGTCAAAGAAAGCCCAAGCCACTTAATGGGTTAAGGAGTGGCCATCTGCTTCTATAAATGCTTATATCTTTTTGTTGTTGTTGTTGTTTGCTGCAGAACATATCTTTTGTTCTTTTGACAGTCCATGAGATTTTTTTTTTAAAAATTATTAATTTCAATGAAAATTTACAGAGACTTTGGATTTCCATTTATTCATTGTTGCACTTTTCTCCCCT